CTTCAACCTTTTGAAATATTACAATCAGTCCAATACTAATATTACCGCTCAATCGAAGGGGGCGAGTTTTTCGATCTGTACATTGGAGCGAGTAGGTTTTCCTATATTTATTTCCTAGTACAGATGCGAACGGAGAAGAATTTCCTTTGATAATGAATAAACTTATTTGCTGTAAGAGGCAGCTGAATGTTTACTTTGGACATTTAACATCGTTGATCCTTCAACCTTTTGAAATATTACAATTTGTCCAATACTCACTTTTCCGCTCAATCGAAGGGGGCGAGTTTTTCGATCTGTACATTGGAGCGAGTAGGTTTTCCTATGTTTATTTCCTAGTACAGATGCGAACGGACAAGAATTTCCTTTGATAATTGCTAAGCTAATTTAATGTAAAAAGCAGTTGAATGTTTACTTTGGACATTTGTCATCATTGATCCTTCAACCTTTTGAAATATTACAATCAGTCCAGTACTCATATTTCCGCTCAATCGAAGGGGGCGAGTTTTTCGATCTGTACATTGGAGCGAGTAGGTTTTCCTATATTTATTTCCTAGTACAGATGCGAACGGATAAGAATTTCCTTTGATAATTGTTAAGCTAATTTACTGTAAAAGGCAGTTGAATGTTTACCTTGGACATTAGTCATCGTTGTTCTTTCAACCTTTTGAACCATTACGTCAGTCCACCATGTACAAAATTTACAAGTAATCATTATTTTTCTGATTCCAATTTAATGTGTATACTTCATCTTTTGAATATTTCATTTTTCTGAGTGTACTCAAAATTTAAATTGCATTCCCGATCTAAATCATGTGACAAATACTGTGTATAATATTTTATAATGTTTTTATGCGTATATTTTCTGAATTTCCTTTACATACTTACATACTTCTATTTTTGAAGTCTATTACTTTTGAAGTTTTTGATAGTATCCTCTTATTGAATTCATCATAACTTTCTTCGAGAGCACAGACTTACATTGATTTTTGGTTCAAACTTTTGATGTTTGTTTACATATTTTTGAGTGGTTTTGAACTTTGACAGTATTTTGTAGTCTGGATAGTTACATAGATTCGTTGCGATGTATGCCTTGAGGGTCTTGTACTATCCACAGTTTCTATTAATTGAAAGTGTTTTCTTCATATGCATTTTATTTTCTTCTTGAGACTTGTCATATATGCTTTCCGCCTAGTTGCAAATCTGTGCGTATTGATAAACTCTTGAAACCTCTGGCGTATAAGTAAAACTCACTTTTGATATAGTTATTTATGTCTCAGTTCAATTCAATCAGTTCAATTTGATTTGAAGTAATTGTCAATTCCTTCTTGAGATTTTTCATATATGCTTTCAGCCTTTGTGCACATTTGTGCGTATTGCTAAGTCTTGAGCTTGGTTGCGACATTGCTTTCATGTTTCGCTATAGATTTTGAAATATCTGGTGATTTTGCTTTTGCATTATTGCATTTGTTTTGATAGTCTGCTCTCATAATTTTTTTTTCGGCTTCTTATTTCTTTCAATTTCTGTCTTGACTTGAAGTAATCGCCAATTCTTATAGATTCAATATAGTAATTCTCTTTTCATACTTTACACTGGTAAATTATTATAGTTTTTCTAATCTTGTAATATTTCATATTTGAACTTAACTTTCATTTTACAATGTTATGGTTATTCTCAGTGTAGACTTTGAAGTGCGCTGATGATATCAGTGATCTACATGAGAATATTCCATAGACTATAGACATTCTTGTCTAGGGCTTTGGAGTGCACCTATGGTGACCCTAGAAAGTTGTCTTTCTCTCATATTTTTGCTTTAAATCAAAATTCGAATTCTTACCTATCATATTTATTTCTATTTCTTGTTCAATAGATTGTTTTTTTTTTATATAACTCCAATTTTGCACCTACATATGTATATCGTAGACTTTTGCATACAATTTTTGCTTGCGGCATTACTCTCATGTATCATGATTTATTAAAATATCTTGTGATTTTCGTTTCGCTATTTTGCATTTTACATATGCTTAATATTTTGCTTACTTTTGTATTTTTTTGAGAATTCTTTATAAAATCATGCTCATATAGCTTTGATATTTCCTTTCACTTTATGATTTTAATACTATTAGATTTACAGTTGCACTTGTGTTGCACTTAGTTTTTTTTTTTGAAATATATTTTGCTCTTTTCTATATTGAACTTCAGAATTTTTTTTGGTCTGGTTCTTATATTGTCACATGACCCGAAAATTTTGATTAAACTTACTCTTGAATTTTAGTTCATTGATTGAACTTAAGCTATATTTTGACTTTGAAAATCTTACTTCAATATTTCATGAATGTCTCTTAATACTTTAATTCTCTGAAACTATTTTGAATTATTTTGTAGTCTTACAGACTGCTGGCGCCCGACAATTTTTTGGTGGAATCAGAACTGCACTCAGTTAACATCTTTTTTTGATTAAAATACCTTATTGATCAAGTTTTCATTGGTTTAGTACTTGTAAATTGTTTTGTTATATGATTTGAATTCCTAATGGAATTTGTTAATTTCTTTTGATTTTCATATTTTGAAAATAGCAATGCACTGTTTTTTTTATATTAGATATTGGTTTAAAATATCACTGTAGATGATATTCTTTTTGGGTTTGGAGTATTGCGAGATAATCTGGCAATTGTTTTGAGAAAAATTATTATTATTTTTTTAGTACCTCTTATGGTTTAGGTACTTGCTTAATTTTGAAGTTTTTAGTAATCAGTCGTGCATTTTGGATGCCATTGTGATTCGTGCTTGGACTACTGCTGAAACTTTTGGTTTATTATTTTTCTCGTCTTAGGTATGACGATGTTTTATGTTTTGGGTTTTTCATCATATGATGATAGTTTTTTTAAGTGCAACTTCACTGTACTTTTCAGCGAGTTGGTGCTATAACCATCCCTCTTGTTTGGTAGACTTGAGGCTATCCCTTTTTCTTCCAATTCTCTTCTAACATTTTTGTTTCTACCTTACTTTTACTACTTGTTATCTGGTCGAATGGTTGTACATTTCCGTGATAACTTTCAATTTCCTAGTAAAAAAAAAAAAGTTCTTAAATGCTTCTTCGATTTTTTTTTTTTTGGTTAAGTTGCGGCGAGTGTAACGGTTTCACCGTCCGATCGTATTTATTAAATCACTTCTCGATTATCATTTCATTAATCCCATCTCTAGCTTTTTTGCTTGGAAAATTTTCCGCTTGGAGCGCTTGATGCGGAGTTCCTGATCTGCGATCTTCCTCGCGCTTCCTTTTCACTTGAGCCGCCGATTGAACAACGGCTAGAAATTTCCTCTCTGTAGCACAAGGTTATATAGCACCATGTGCTAGAATTTTCTAGAGTGTGTGTCCGTATAGGACAAAAATGATTGGGGCCACCCCCTTTCTCTTTCCCTTTCACTTTGCCTAGCCTTGGCCAATATTTTCACCCATGCATGTACCTTGGCAGCGCCATCGCCTTTAACTTCGCCTACAACTGGTTGTGAAGCCACTATATGGAGGTCACCCCTCATAACTGGGACCTTCCCTTCAAGCCCCTGGCCATCCTGGCTTCAGTCGAGTAAAAATGGACCAGCGAAAGATAAGTCGATAGCGTTATAGCAGCGCCAAAGATGTAAAACTTATTTTGTTATTTTTGTAAAATTGTAATGTAATGAAAATGCCTTTTTTTTTTTTGTTAAATAAAATCTGTTAAATTTTTGTGTTCTGTTTGTTCTTCTATCCTCTAGCCATGCCATGGTCGACACACAGCTACACGCCTGTAGATGTCTTCATGCCACCGACTGAGCTACCGGAAGCTAATTGTAACCCCCTTTCTGTGATTGTGCAGAAAAGTTGGAATCTTCATTGCATTCCATCTTTTCTGAACTTTTTGCGGAAAGGAAGCGTTACAATATATCCACAAAATCAGAAAAACTAGACAGGATAGAACGAACGTTAAGGTGACCAAATGTCACTGTTTTTAGATTCCCATCTATACTTGATCTTGAATTGTTGAAGTTTCACTGGAAAACACGGCCAAGAGAGACTTGTTGCAGAATGTTCAATCGAGAATGAAGATTTTTCAAGTTTGGAATACTTTACATTTTACACTGCCTCTGATTTACAAATTCTTAATGATATTAGGATCATGCTTGTAGATAAGATGCACAATGTCAATGCCACTAGAAGATTGCGATCTAACGGTTAATTGTGCTAATTTCAAGTTATTATCTATAGTCCTACTCATTTATTATCGCTGCGATCTAGAAGCTGTTCTCTACCCTTACTGAAAGTATCGACCAACGTCAGCCAGGCTATGCTCTATGCTGGTCAGCTCAGGCAGTGTGGAAGTGAGAGATTAGTCGGTAATCGCAGAAAGGATCTTATAGGTAAGCTCGTAGTGTACGGCAGCCTGCAAAGTTTTTTCATCCTTGAACTGGTGGTAACCTTGAGTGAAAATTTCATCCAAATCCGAACGGGGTAAGCGTTTGAGGACAGACTGACTGAAAGACAGACAGACAGACTGACAGACAGGCAGACAGACCGACGGAAATGAGTTGCATGATTTTTCGTGATGTTCATCCAAAAAACATAATATCTCATATTCGATTTATTTTGCGATTACAACATCCTTGCCAGTAGGCATTGGAAGTAAAAACTAAAGCATCTATCCAAACGTACATATGACATTTTTTTATTACTAACTTGAGAAATCACCGGTATTTACGGCATCCTTATGAGGATGAAGGAGAAGCCCTTTCTTTATTGTCGGTGTTTATATTTATTCTTCCCAATATTTGGACAGATTTAAAATCCCAGACTACCCTAATAAATTGGAATATATAAGAATGAGCGGGAAATGAATGATTTGTCGACGTTCGTAGGACCTTCTAACTTAATTCCACACTATTTCATAGCGGCAGCGTTCTTTTCTTACTCACTGTTCTGTGATGCAGATATCGCGTTGGCTCTAGCTGATCCTGCACTACTTACCTTTGCTTCCTTCTCCGCTTTCAGCAGCATGCTCTCGATTTCGGTCGGCGCAGGCCGCATAACCGACGACGGTTTCTTTTTAGTGGAAGCAGCAGAAGAAGAGTGTCCTTGACCCCAACCGTCGATTTCGTTCTCGGCGTTGCCGTGGTTGTGATGGTCATTGCGGTGATGTGACACAATCCTAAACGAATTAAAATGGATCAAAAGAAAAGTTGAAAAAGCCGAGAATAGTCGGCCTTTGTAAATGCCGGCCGTTAAATCAGGAGATTATGGTTTATTGTGGTCTTCAGTACGGTATTTTTTGTCGAAAGCACTTCTCATTCTACAAGGTTTCTAGGCAGATGTATTTAAATCTCTTCAATAAAGATGGTACGCATCCATTGAGTTGATTTTTTGCAACTATTTTTTCTCTAATTGAGCGATGCACACCAACCGCTTAAAAGTTTTCAAAGATCGAAGATCCTCAATTTGAACTCCAGAGTGGCAAATTATCGAAGATACCATTTTCCCCAAAATGCTTCACTTATAAGCAGAGCTAGACTACTGTAGCTTAAACAGTTATTGAGAAAATAGCTATGTTGTCGTGGATTACTATTTTAGTATAGAAATCTACCTCTAAAGTCAAAAAATTTGGTGTTGGCTGCTTTTATAGACAAAATATAAGATAAGCGAGATGAAAAGCCGGTTCAACTAACGAAGTATCTAGTTCTAAAATATACAATTTCAATATCCAATTGATTTATTACCTCCATGGATTATATCAAACCTAATAACAGCCACTAGGGTGATATTAAAAAAGTCGTCCTTTGACCTCATAGAAAATTTAATTTGAAACTATCAATATAGGCAGAATTATTTATAGTTTCAAGCCATTCAGCAGAACATAATTGCGTGACGCTCTTTGGCATGCTATCCAAAATTAGTTCTAACGTCTCTGTCGCAGCATTACCTTCCGAGCACCGATCAGTTGTTAAAGCATTGAACATGTCGTTTTACTTGTACAGTATTGTACCTGGTGTAAAAAATATAAACGGTAATTTTTTTTGTACGCTTATTGAACAACATTATGCCCTTATTACTGTTTTAAAAATTTTCAATAGATTCTCCTGCGACGGTTACCCGATGATCTTGTTCAATAAGCTCTCGAACACACGAATTTTGTCACCTGTAAGGCTTGTCCTTGGACGTCGATCATGTATTTCGTTTTCAACCTGTTCTCGTTCGCCCATAAATTCTGTCGCCCATGTAAACACTCGATTCTGGGACTGTTTCCAGGCTGTACCCGCAAACGAGTTAAAATTTCCGACGGTTGAACGCGTTAATTGGTTAAAAACTTTATTATTATCCGTTGTGGAATAGATGAAGGTACTTCTTACTCAGTCATGGCTGTACTGGCGGCAACAGCGCGCTTGCCCGCCAACCATACCGGTTCCCCCACTTCTCTCAAAACAATCATGCATCTACTCCACACAACATAATGGAGCTAGGAATAGAATTCTAAGAAGAATCGCAGAATTACCGCTTATATTTGATTCACCCTCGTATGTAAGAATTCCTATAACAGTGGGTATATCAGCAAGCCGTTCGTCCACTGACGTTGAATGACTGCATTGTTCAGCTGAAAGCTCAATCTTCGGATTCAATAAAGATGAAAGCTATTGAAAATGCTCAAAACGAAGACTCAGGCAGCAGCGGTGGCCGCAGTAGTAGACTCTTCGGTCTCCTGATCAGTTGCCGTGCGCTGTGCGGGTTCGAGTCCCGTCCCAGGAGAAATTTTTCTCTTGGCTATGGATGTTGTGATTGTCCGTAGGTGGTAGATGGTCTCTGACTGTCGAACGTGGAGGTACCACCCGGCGGATCTCGTAGGTGGAGCCAGAATGTGTGCACGTTGCATGCACACGTGTTCCCTCGCCAGAGTCCGTGTGGCGTTCCCCCTTTCCCCTGTATCCCCCTATAGCCCCACGGTACCCAATGGGTGTTTAGGCCTTAGGCCTTCGTGGTAGTTGGAGTATAAAAAAAACACTCAGTTTAGGAAATATGCTCAAGAAATGAATGCATAGCTTCAGATTCTTTCGATCGAGATCAGACGGTAACGGGAATAACCCAATTGAGTTGTCTGCATTTCTTTAGTTGTGATATATTTTAGCCATACTATCCATAATAAATGTAGTTCATTGTTGAAACCCATTAAAAGCTTTGCTACATAAACATGTATAAAATGTAAATTTAACATTATATTCCGGTAATAAAAGGAATCGGTTATACTGAAATTGAAATGAGCAGAGGGAAAAGTGTGAGAGCTGCATTGCTTTGTATGGAATTAATTGAACAATCGCACGTTCCGATGTCAACAAAAATACCACTTTCCCTCAATATTCCGCAAGGTGAATTTCAATGGCAGTATCTGCAAGACTAGTTATTCAGGAAAGTAGCTACCTACACATGCATATATTTTATACATTACATTTTTGAATAGTTAAATGTTTCTGAACCCAATAACTGGTCGTTCTAGATTCACAGTTTTGGTTTGCGGCATAGTAAAAAAAAGGACCGCAATAGGGCTTGTATAAATGTTAATTTATAAAACTTGAAAAATTATGAATCTTTAGTATCCTGCATATCAAATGTTGATTTGAAGGGCTCAATGAATTTCTCTAAAGGGAATTTCTGCGGAGAAAACATCGCTTGCACGGCAAGTACATGGGACATAAAAATATGCTAAAAATTCAAGGAAACTTGCAAATATCAAGCAAATTTCACATTTGCCACCTTTCCAGTACGATCTTAATAACCTGAAATCTAGAAAAATGCGGATAATGTAGCCAAGCCAAGGTATTCACATTTAATGATGTTTTGTGAGAAAATTGTGTCACAGACGTTTTTCTTACGATCAGAGCTCCTATTGATTAATTTTGTCCATTCGTCTTAAGCTCTTCAATGTCTCTTCCTTGCTGTGCCGATAATATTTTTTTCCCTTTTAACATAGTTTGACAAGTGAGGCTTAAATCACGTTTTTTGGATTTGGGACATTTTAAAGTATTTTCATTTGGCTTTATTCAAATTCAATGAAAAACAAGCCATACATTGTTATAATAAAAACAACATCTAATTGCGAAGAATTGACAGGTCTCGAGTCCCGAAGAGTTATGGTCACTAAGCGGCTCTGTCATCGCGCACACAACCGATTTGTGCCCAGTAAACCCCAAGGTTTTAGAGAAGGTATCAGGTGTGACCATTTGCATTGGAGATATAAATTAATAACTTTATGGCTTCAATACCCCCTTGTGGCTTAAATTCCTGCATACCGTGAGGACTAAATATTTCCTTGAGCTTCGGTAAATGTGGGAGTTGATAACTACCTAACAGACATGCTAGGTTTGCACTCATTCGCCGTGCTTCATTGCGTTTGTCAAAACCGCAGCGCTTAGTTGCACATCGTCTGCACTAGCACGCTTCTGCGTTATAATGCGCATTCCTGTATACTCCATAATGTGCGGTTACAAGCCGTAACAAATTATACAGGCAGCCGCGTGAATATGTTAGCCTCCATATTTCATTATTATACGACTTGGTTAGGCATCGGTTACCACAATGATATATTTACAGTTGCTTTCAGATTCAGGACTATTTTTATTATAACAGCACAAATAGAAGACTGTCAATGGCTGGCCAAATAGAAGATAAAGTAAACTTCACCCAAGTGTCATTATTATTTTTTGGAGACTAAGTGTCTATATGCGGTATAGCTGATCTGGAATACATACGTCATCAATAAGTACGTGAAGTTGTTGTTCAATTGGATGAAAGATCATTTTTTATGAATCACAGATGCTGATTTTTAGGTTATCCTTACCTAAGCGGTGTATTAAAATCGTTCGAACGTTGCCGAAAGAATAAAGGAGCTGGTTGTGAGACGAAAGAGTCCTGCATCTATTCTTTATTAGCGAAAAATAAGATTCAATATGTTATCTACACCTCCGCTTATGACAAAGTAATAACTAAGATATTGGATCTTTCTTAGATAATAACCATAAGTGAATATGAGTTAGAATTTCATTGATAACAAATGATAAAAAATGATTCTATATAAAAATGAAGAAAATCTCACTCAGCGATGGCCTGCCAAACAGGAACTGATATCCTGAAGAAGTAAATAAGAATGTTCACGTATCTACAGTTAAACAAGTTGTGGATGTTTGAAACGCTCACTAGCAAACTAGTTCTAAAAACACCAAGTTTGCACTCCTAAAGTGTGCAAGTTGCAAGCAGTTCATGCAGATGTGCTTCTAACAACTACTGAAAATGTGAAATATCTATGTCGTATGGAATCTATCTACTTCCGTCTACTATGTCTTACACTTTCAGAAATATCGCTCTCAAGAGCAAGAGCATATCCTCACTGAGGGTTCCAAATGCATTCAAGATGAGAGTTTTGAGGAGATGACGACACTGGCTAGAATTAAAAAAATAAAAAGTAAGCAGTGTGTTCAAAGGTTATATCAACATTCATACAGTATAGTTCCAAGTCAAACCAGCTTGTATTCACCTTCACCCATCCGACTCTGTGTAATTAAATACTACAAGTTAAATTTGGCCCACTCCCAGTGTCCGATCGAGCAGAAATTTGGCAAACGCGTTTGGCCCAAATACTATCATTTTAGTCCAATATGGGATCGGTCACAGTATAACGATTTATCATTTCCATTTTCCTGTGGTACATGTATCAACCGTAAGTGCTTGATATGCGAAACACAATAAGCAAAATGGCCAGTAAGATGGCTACCGCTAAATGACTGTTCATAATATTCAAACTCATGCCCATGATATGAATATAACATGAAATAGATTGGTAGATACAATAAGTAAAAGTGACAAAATTGTAAACGGAAGCATCAAGTGCTTGGAAAGTACTCTGGCCCTAGGGTCTTATTATCGGGTTAATTGACTAGTATAAAAAAGTTAGCTGAAATATAAGTACACTTCAATTCTTCGATCAATTTAATAAGAATAGTGGAGTACGTTTTTTGTATTTACGTAACATATACGTTTTATACTAATGGAAATCGCATGAGATGAATAAAGTAAGGCGTTTTATAAGGTCCAACCAGTAAAATATACGTTAATTAGATAGAAATTAGTTATTAAACATCATAATGATAAAACTAAATAAAACTGAAAAAA